GCTTCTGAGATGGCTCTTTTTTTTTTTTTTTATAATTACAGGGTTTATTAAGAAAGTAACATGTTATAACTTGGGATTGGTAAACATATAGGCAAAGTCTCCCTTCTTCAGTGTAGGACTGCTCTCCCAGCTCCTCTTGGCCATGCAGGGTTCTACTCTCAGCCTTTGGTCTCTGCTCAGGCCTGCTCTCTGCCCTGCTTGGTCTAATGTTACAAAGCTCTTCAGCTCTGACAGTAAGTGTCTGGAGGTACCTCACTCCTTCAGCAAGTCTCCTTTCCAGAGGTGGCTAGCTTTCCTTGCTTTATGAGTGGGAAGCCCACTGTACCATCTTGTGCCAGTCTCCTAGTTCTGCCACTGCCATTTCTGTCACACTTGCTGCTACTGCTTCTTGGAGATAGCTCCTTTTAAAAAATAGGCAAAACCAACCAATCCTAGTGTTAGAATCCTGTACACCCTATTTGCATGGGTGTACAATGAGATGGATCCGCCAGGTGGCATCCTTGATGGCGTCAAGTGTGGCAGCGGTAGTGAGGTTGGCCCAGGATCAGACATTGTTTTGTTCTGCTGTGCATGGGGTCGCTATGAGTCGCTTTCGACTCGATGGCACCTGACAACAACAACAACATCCTTGGTAAGAAGTCCTGGGTTAATGCACCAGACTGCAAAGCCATTTGAACCGCAAGGTCAGCGGTTCAAGCACACCAGCGGCTCCTCAGAAACCCTATACAGGGTCGCTATGGATCAGAGTTGACTCGACGGTACATAACAACAACAACCCTCTGGTAGTGTAATGGTTATGTATTGGGCTGCTAATCTCAAGGTCAGCAGTCTGAAACTACCAGCAGTTCTGCAGGAGAAAGATGAGGCTTTCTGCTCTCGTAAAGATTTACAGCCTCAGAAACCATGTACTGGGTCTCTGTGGGTCAGAATTGACTCGACAGCACTTAACAACAACAATATCCTATCATTTGGTAGGAATGAAGAAGACATTGGATAGAAAAGCCCTATTTCAAGGTACCACCGATGAGAAGGCGGGTGGAGTGGCTTTAGGAACCACAGAGAGGAAGTGGGATAATTGTTGTTTCATGGAGGGGACTGTAATCATTGAGATGAAATTAAGTGTATGATTTGTTGAATGGAAAACTGATGATCTGCTTTGTAAACCTTCTCAATTCACAATAAAAAGTCTTTCCAAAAAAATAAAAAAATCCATCTACATAAATCCTCACAAAGCATGCTGTAGTAAAAAAGATGAAATCTTTTACTACACATAATATCTAATTTCTAGGAGACTCCAGTCATCTAGTTGTCTTCTGCTGTTTGTATATTTTCTGTTATATTTGTTTGTGTACTCATGCCATGTATTAGGAGCCCTTTGTTTATCCCTATTTTTTCACTGATGGTCCTACACGTGAAGGAATGCTATGAAATATTTAAAGAATAACCATGAATCAGAAAAACACTTCCCAACATGGATGAACCTAGAAGACAATCACAAAAGAACAAATACATAAGACAATTTTTTTAAAAAAAACTTAAGAACAGTTTTTCACATATAAAAAAAGAGAGAAAAGAAAATCCTTCTGCTGGTGATAGGGCTGGGAAGTGGCATGTCAGGAAGGGGCTCACATAAACCAGGAGCAGGGACAGTTTGTCCATAGTAATAAGAAAGAAGTCTGCGTGTGTGGATCCAGGTGCTGGTAGATGGGCAAACATGTGGTGGTTTTCTTTTGACGGCTTCCATTTTCTCCATGAGATAAGAAATGGGATCATCATCGACAGAGAGTAATGGCAAAGGAAATGTTAGGGATCAAGGAGGCTGACAAGCAATGATAGATGATGGTTGGGAGAATTCACAAGTATGGAAGTACAAAGTAGAGAACTGTATTCACTTTCCAAACAAGGAAAGGGTCTTAACACAAGAGATTGCGAGCCCAGAGGGTCAAGTGTTTCAGGCTTTTATGGTTTGTTCATTTGTTTTTAAGAGGGAAGGCTGATTTACAAAGTAAGTGATAGCTGATATCCTAAGTTATGGCCAATGCTGGGCTGGTATAACAGGATATTGGGAGGTGATATAAGACATTGTCCAACTGGGTGAGCCTAACAGGATACTGGGGGGGCAGTCAAAGATATTGTCTGTTTGGGAGGTACTTTATGGCCGCCGGGGAGAGTTAGGGAGTTGCTGTTCAGTTGGGCCAGCAGTTATTCCTGCAAAACAGACTAGGGTTACACAGAAGATTAAACATTGCGGCTGAGTCCTATCAGTGATGAGGGTTCAGAACCAGAGAGACAGAAAGCAGGATCCAGAGATCCAGCAACCCTCAGTGGAGAGTTGATGTTGGGTGAGCATGTCTAAATTTCTAAATTTTTTCCATTATACCAGCAGTCCTCAGTCAGGGGCGGTTTTCCACCAGGGAACATTTGGAAATGTCTGGACACATTTCAAGTCTTCACAACAGATATGCCAGGAAGCCCTCAACACCAAGAATGACCCATTCCAAAATGTCAGCTGTGCCAAGTTTAAGAAATCTTACAACACATTCCTCTGTTGCCCCAAGTCCCCTCTACAGCAGACAGTTACAAGGACTTCCAAGGCCTCTGAAAAGGTCTCATGATTCCCGGAGGAGGCTGTTCCATCTGTCCCGGGTCAGGGAGAAGTCACTTACAGGGTTGTGCTGGATCCAACACTGCCCTCCCCCAGAAATGGGGGCAGATGCCAAGAGAAACAAGAGGATTGTAATCCCATAATCAAGCCTTCACCTCTCTTCCAGGACCTGCCCTAACTGGCCTTTCCAGCCCCACCCCCATCCTTACCCTGTGCTTGGGACCTAGGGTATCAAATTCCCTGGGACCTCCAAGTACTTCCTCTCTCACCCTCATGGGAACTGTAAACATGGTGTGCACCCATGGATCTGTGGGGGCACCCATAACTCCACATGGCCTCCCAGACAACCCTTAACCTCTCCCCACCCTATCACCAGACATGGAACCTTGGCCCATCTATGAGTTTTGGCAATCTGTCTTCTGATCAGGCAAGAATTGGATAATGAAAGACAGGGTCTGGGGCTGCAGCCAAGACTGGACAAAGCTGATTGGGGCTGGGGAGGGCGGAGGGCAGGGGGAAGCTGTCTGTGGGGAGGAGAAGGAGGTTCTCTTTCCCTGTGCTTTCAGCTGCCCCACCCATCCTCTAAGCCCTCCTTCAGTACTGCCCACTGCAGTCTGATTGGTGGAGGATTGAGAGAGAGAGTCAGGAAGAGAAGATGGCAGATACATGCCTTGGGAGATAGGGTGAGACAGAACAGAGAAAGAGAAAGGGTGGCAAGCACACAGAATGTGAAAGAAAAAGATCAAGAGGCACAAGACAGAGGGACAGAGTGAGATGAGACCAAGACAGAGAGAAACAGATTGATGTCCAGGCAGATTGCAGAGGGGAAGCAAAGCAGAACGCAACAGAGAATTTCAGAGACAGAGAGACAGATAAACACAGAGACAGACAGATGGATAAACACAAATACAGAGAACGGATAGGAGCTTTGAAAAATGATCTCCAGAGGATAAGAAAACTCCAGCTCAGAGAGGGAATGGAACTTGCCCAGGGTCACACAGTCAAGCCAGTAGCAGACCTGGACTCGAACTCAGAGAGATATAGTGTCCAAATCACAAAGGTACCCAACCTCCACCCCTGGTCTATCATAACCCCAATCCCCCAAAACCAGGCCCAGGGCCCTGAATAACCAAAAAATGAGTGTGAACCATTGTCCTATCTCAGGGCAAAGACCACAGTGGAAAGAGCTGAGTCTGTCTGCTCCAGGAGGGTGAAGGAGATTTCCCAGGTGTGGCCCCCACTCCACTCGAGGCTCTGCTCCAGCTGGCTGTGAGCCCTAGGGCTGCACCAAGGACTTACAAGGAGGTGGGAAGGGATTAAGGTTCATTGGAGAACAAATGAGGGGGTGAGGGTGGAGAGAGTCTGTTTAAGAGCAGTCCCTACCCCTAGGCACCTACAGCTGCAGGGCACATCTGGAACAGAGCTTGGCTGTCCACTCCAGAACACACTGCTGCCCCTGGTCACTCCACAGGCAAAGGACCCAGGTAAAGGAGGATCACAGAGGAGGGGGAGCTCTCAAGAAAGGAGGTCACCGGCTCGGTCGCTCTAAGACTCACTTGGAATCTTGCTTGCCGCCTCTGCTGAGGGTTGTTCAGCCCCTGGGTCCTTCTTTCTGGGTAGGGGTCTCTTGGAGACGCTTTTGATTCATTTGACAAGTATTTTCAGGGCACCTAGTGGTTACAAGTCAGGCTGCTAACCCCAAGGTCAGCAGTTGGAAATTACCAGTGGTCCTGTGGGAGAAAGATGAGGCTTTCTGCTTACGTAAAGATTTACAGCCTAGGAAACCCTGTGCAGGGTCACTATGAGTGGGAATGGACTCCATGACGCATAACCACCTAGGATCTGCGTTCCCCACAGAGGGCTGGCGGCTCCGTGCACATGACCCCTTGGTTTGGAACATTAGCTTCTTTTCTGTCACTGTTTCTGCTTCTGCCTCTCTCTCTGTATCAATCTCTCTTATTCCCTGTCTCTGTGTCTCTAACAATCCCTTTCTCTCATCAGTTCCAGGGTTTTCAACATCTCAGTCCGTTTGTCTGTCTTGATGTATCTCTTCTTTTCTGTCTCTTTCTCTTCTCCTCAAACTCTATGTTTAACTCTTCATTTTTCTCTCTCTTTTTTCGTCTCCCTCTATTTTTGTGTGTCTCCGTATTTTGGCTATTTCTGTTTGTTTTCTGATTTTTTTTCATTCTTATTCTTTCTTCTCTTTCTCCTTACCTCCCTATCTCTTGGCTGCTCCCTGTCTGTCTCTTTCTACTTCCTTTCTTCTCTCCCTCCACCCCATTCCTGGAACCCAGAGAATGCAAGTGCCTATGGAGTTGGGGAATGGAGGGGACCTGCTCTCTCTGAGTCCTGCCCTCTCCCACTTTGCCCTTCAGACCCTGCAGCTACCTTCACAATGGATGGTGTAAACACAGTCATCTTGCTCCTGATTCTGGCTTTGATCTGCCTGTTTCTGGCCCTCAGTTCAAGGGGCAAGGGTCATCTACCCCCAGGACCTAAACCACTCCCATTCTTGGGGAACCTGCTGCAGCTGCGCTCCCAAGACATGCTGACCTCCCTCACCAAGGTACAGGGTTCTAGGCTTGGGTGATGGGGTGAGAGACAAAGGGGGTGGATCCATGGCTCCAGCCCCTCTGTGACGTGTCTTCTTACCCCCAGTTGAGCAAGGAGTATGGCTCGATGTACACAGTACATCTGGGGCCCAAGCCAGTGGTGGTCCTCAGCGGGTACCAAACCGTGAAGGAGGCACTTGTGGACCAGGGGGAGGAGTTTAGTGGCCGAGGCGATTACCCCGTCTTTTTCAACTTCACTAAGGGCAATGGTAAGCCTGCTCCCTAGCTCTTCCACCCATAATACAAGTTAATAATACAAGTTGCTGGGTGGGTAGGCATAGAGTTAAATTGGGAATGGGGATGAAAGGGGCCTATGGGGTTGGTAAATTTGGGTTGACGTTGGAGATGGGGATGGAATTGGGTAGAATGAGAGAGATTGGTAGATTAGGGTTGAGATTGGGGTTGGGTAGAGATATGATGTGGGCGGTGGAGAAACTATCCTCTCAATTGTGGGGTCACTTTGGGCCACTAATCTCCCTAAAGATTCCAAATGGAATGGAGTCCCAGTCTAATGGTGAAGTCCATCCCACCTTCCCCATCACTAATCCCCATCACCAGTCATCTCTAACCCTAGTCTCATTCTAATCCTGATTTCCATCCCAACCTCATCACCAACTTTTCATCTCTATCAAGTGGTCAAATTATGTCTCCAGCCCCTACTGCCCACCTCAATCCAATGCCCATCTCCAGCAACCCTCTCTCCATACTTCTCATTTATTTCCCACAACCATGATTCCTTCCCACTACAGCCCCCATTCCCACTAAGAACTCTCTTCCATTTCCATTTTAAATGGCACTATCAGCACCATCCTAATCCCTTTAGTCAAAGCAAATGACACTGCCATTTTTCTCTCCAGCCCCAAACCCATCATCTCTTCCAATCACCTGTTCAAGTCGCCAGGTCCCATTTTCAACCTCAATCCCATCATCATCACTAAAATCAACCCTATCATATCTCTACCCAACCCCAACCTTAACTCTAACCTACCAATCTCTCATTCTACCCAATTCCATCCCCATCACCAGGCTCAACCCCATAGACCCCTTTCATCCCCATGCCCAATCTAACTCTATCCCTACCCACCCAGCAACTTGTTTTAACTCCAAACCTTTCCCATCTCAAATCCCTAGTTCAACTCACTCGCATCACAAACCTAATCCTTTCTTGATTCAATTATCTTGTCCTCCTTAGACTCAGAAATCACAAATCCTTATGGTTTTCTAGCACATTCCCACACAGTCTTACTCAAAGGAAGTCATATAGAAAGGTCCAATAAATTAACAAAGATAACTAATTGCTATAGTTGAAAGGGAGACTTGCATCTTAGACGACTCGTCTCTCCCTAAAGAATCCCTTGGTTTTCCCCTGGCCCCTTCACTGAATGAATCTCAACTGCCCCAGGATTTGGAATCAGAGAATTCTTGGGTAAAATATTGCCTATTGTATATTGAGTGCACTTTTCACCCTTCCTGACTTATTCCCTGGGCTTGACCTTATGAAGCACCTGTTCAGGTATACCAGATGCAAAGAAGGGGAGAGAGGGCACTTGAGAAGGTCACCTGGCTACCTTTGCACTTTGCTACCTTTCCAAAACAGTTAGAAACATAACATCATTTGTTGCTTTTTAAAAGTCATTCTCCAATTGTTCAGTATACAGTACAGCACTTACAAGCTGTGTACCTGTCAGCAAATATCTTCCAAGCGTCAGTGCTCTTTCAGACACAAGAGATAAACACATCTGAGACGTTATCCTATTATTGCCGCCAACCCTGTGGGAGACACAGCCAGACTGTGACAGCCGAGTGTGGTCAGGGTTGGGACGAGAAAGGCACAAATACAGGGGTAGGAGCCAGGACAGGGGAAGCCCGGACAGTTGAGACCTGAGGGATGAAAATGGCTAGTCAGAAAAATTCAGGAAGTGGAATGTTCTAGGCAGAAGGAAAAACCTGAGGCCAAGAAGAGAGAAGAACAGGATCTGTCATGTTCCTGAATGAGTTTATGAGCTTCCAGTCTTTACTTTTTTTGCTTATTGTATATTCATATATTGATTTAATCAATACACAATCATTCATCTCTTGCATGGGCAATGCTGGGGACAGAGTGGCAGCCAAGACCATCCCAACTCTGTCTTTACAGGCTCCCAATTCACTGAGGGAGATAGTCCAGTCACCAGATCTCGATGGGTCACAGTGATCAGGGCTGTGGTGGGGGAAGCCCAGTTGTCCTACTAATGCACAAGGAGAAGGAATATAATAATATGATAGCCGAGAAGGAAAATCAAGGAAGGCTTCCTGGAGGAGGCTTTTCTACATTGGTTCAGTTTCTCTCCCAGCAAGAATCAGAAAAAAGAAATCAGAGGACAGTGGTTGGGGGCGTGTTGTCCTTTTCTTCTCCTCCCCAGGCATCGTCTTCTCCAATGGGGAACGGTGGAAGGCCCTGAGGAGGTTCTCTATCCAGATTCTGCGGAACTTTGGGATGGGGAAAAGGAGCATTGAGGAACGAATCCTGGAGGAAGGAAGCTTCCTAATGGCTGAACTGCGGAAAACTGAAGGTCAGAGTCCCAGAGGGCATCTTTACCCCAAGTTCATACCTATCCTACTTAATGAGCATGGCTGCCAGGTTCCATAGTGTGCGCTCACAACCGCTAGAGACCCATCACTCAGCCCACAATGGAAACGGCGCCCCCTGGAGGTGGATTGGTTTGCGGCTCTGTGAAGCATTATGTGGAGCTCTATCACTGTGCTATTTTTAGAGCAGTTTGTGTCAGTGTGGGGAACATGATGATGATGATGATGGTGTGATTGAGAATTTACAACATCCTGAGCCCGATGCTAAGCACATTTTCATGCTTAAACCCTTTAAGTCTCAGGGCAGTCCATTTTGCAAATCAGGAAACGGAGACTAATAACTGAACAAACACTTAACACAGCTAGTAAAAGAAGGAAGCAAAAATGTAAAACTACATCTGTCTTCTTCTTCGTCTTCTTAAGTGCCATCGAGTCGGTTGCGACTCATAACGACCCTATATCGGGTTTCCGAGGAGTTTGAACCAAGGACCATGACGCTCAAATCGACCTTGCAATCCAGTGCTTATCCTACAGCTCCACACCAGGGCTCCAAAACTTCATCTACTGACATCAATGTCCGCCCTAACTCACTAATGTCAACTTATTAAGCACTTGCTATATACCAAGCTCACCAGCTGCTCCTCGGAAACCCTATACAGGATCGCTATGGGTCGGAACCGACTAGACAGCACTAAACAAACATCAACATATACCAGGAGGAGTCCTGGTGCAGTGCTGTGGGCTAATGCCTCAGACTGCAAAGTTGTTTGAACTACAAGGTTGGTGATTCAAGCTCACCAGCTGCTCCTTGGAAACCCTATACAGGGTGGCTAGGGGTCAGAATCGACTGGATGGCACTGAACAACAAATATATCAGGAAGTATGGTTAAATTCTTCACATGTAATTACTCCTTTCACCCTCCCAGCAACCACAAAAAGTGGTTACCACATGACCTAGAAGGGTAAAGTCATGTGACTAAGTCTTACACTCAGAAAGTGGCAGAGCTGATATACAAACCCAGATAACTGCTTCTCAGTGGAATAAAAGTTAATGAAAACAACCAACACTCACATAGTTTCTACCACTTTCTGGAGTCCTGGTGTGGCGCTGTAGGATAAGTACTAGACCACAAGGTCAATTTGAATCACAAAGTGGCAGTTCAAACCCAACAGCTGCTCCTTGGAAACCCTATACAGGGTTGCTATGAGTCTGAATTGACAACAACCACTGTTCCAAGAGCTTTTTGTACATCCTTAAAATAGCACCCAACTCTAAAAGAATAGTGTCCTGTTGCTCGTGATGTGTGGATGTACTGCGGGGTGTTGTCACAGATTTTGGGGAGTATTGTGAGGCTGCGTGTTCAACTGCTACGTGCGTGGGTTCTGTGTTGTAATCAAGTTGGCACGGTTGGTTGGTTTGAATGCTGTGCAAACCAGATTTATTGCTGTGCCAGCTCTGTCGTGTGGCACCTTGTCCTTTCTAAACTACGCCCACGGACCTATTCTGCTCCTCACCCTCAGGCGAGCCTTTCGACCCCAAGTTTGTGCTGAGCCGCTCAGTGTCCAACATTATCTGCTCAGTCCTCTTCGGTAGCCGCTTTGACTATGATGACGAACGTCTACTCGCCATTATTCGCCTCATCAATGACAACTTCCAAATCATGAGCAGCCCCTGGGGAGAGGTCTGGAGGCCGAGATTCGGTGGGGGGCTACAAGAGGCTGCGGGGTGCAGGGAGAGAGGAAACAGGGGGCAGAAAAGGGACTGGAATTGATCCTCCTTGACCTTGACCCTCCCAAATGACCTCTACCTAGCCACGCCCATTCCTACTAATAAGTTCTCTGCTTCACCTGATCTTGAAAGCTCTTGGTTGCCCTTTAAGATGGACCCAGCTCCTGCTAATCTGATCCACCCTGACATACTCCTCTCCCTCCCCACCACCTGCTCCTCTAAACTTCCCCAGTTGTACAACCTTTTCCCAAACCTTCTGGACTGGATACCGGGGCCACACCGTCGCCTCTTCCAAAATTTCGGACATGTGAAGGATATCATTGCTGTCAGTGTTCGGGACCACCAGGCCTCTTTCGACCCCAACTCTCCCCGGGACTTCATCGATTGTTTTCTCACCAAGATGGCACAAGTAAGCCATGCCGGGAAGTCCCACCTAGGTCTGACTTGAGCTTTTCTGCTGCCCCTGCCTCAAACTAACTGGGATCCAAGGCTGGAACCCCGACAATTAACAGCTTAATTAGAAATCCTTAAGGCTCAGTCCAAGATGCTAATTGTGGGCCCTGAAACTGAAATTTCCCCCAAATCTGCCCTCCGAGATCCTCAGCTCCTACTAAGGGAGAGAGTTAAATGCAGGTGGGATTGAGCTGGCAGGTCAAGAGGGCTCCGGGCCCACACTCACAGTGTCTGGGGGGATCTCTAGGCCCTGTCTCATCTTCCCATCCCTCTGCCCCCCGCAGGAGAAACAGGACCCGCTGAGTCACTTCCACTTAGATACTCTGCTAATGACCACACATAACCTGCTCTTCGGTGGCACTGAGACTGTGGGCACCACGCTGCGCCACTCCTTCCTCGTGCTGATGAAGTACCCAGAAATACAAAGTGAGCGAGCCCCAGGCCAGGCCTGAGACCCGCCCACACAGCTCCGCCCCACTAATTGGCCACGCCCACATGCTGGAGCCCCGCCTCACACTTGGTTCACACAGTTCTGCAGACTATCTCCTACCTCAGACCAAGACGAGCCCATCCACCTGGTCCTAACGGTCCATGAAGCTGTCTGGACCTGGACCCTTCCTGCATGGTCTTATTTACATCCCACTCCTTTTATTTACTTACCCTCCTCACGCAGTCTGCGTCACGCCTCTGCCGTCAACAAGGACTGCCCAGGATCCCAGTTCCAACCCTTACTACACAATCTGACCCAGGCACCCAACACTATGTTCCTACTCTTAAAGTCCTCGAACACTGTCATCTAGGAAACAGTCCCGTGTTCGAATGGGCCTGTGCCGCCTGCCCTGCCTCTAACCTCACACACTTCTCGATCCCCCAGACCGCATACAGGAGGAGATTGACCGTGTGGTGGGGCGTACGCGGCTGCCATCGCTAGAGGACCGCGCGGCCATGCACTACACGGACGCTGTGATCCACGAGGTGCAGCGCTTCGCAGATGTCATCCCCATGAATTTACCGCACCGCGTTATACGGGACACGGCCTTCCGTGGCTTCCTGTTACCCAAGGTGAGTGGAGCCCCTGACAAAAAACAAAAGGCATCCCCTGACCCTAGCAACTCTAGTACACGGGACCTCAAACCCTGGCAATCTACCCCCGGGTGGGCTTTGGTAATTGGCCTCTCGAACCCTTAACCACAGGCATCCGACGGCCTCTTGCCATGATCGCATCTCATATCTTAGTAGACCCCGACCCCTTCTCAATGAGAGGTCCCTTTCCTAGAGCTTGTCTCCACAATCCCCTGAGCCTGGGGTGCCCTGTATCAGACACTGTTCCCAGAGACCTCTCTCACTACAAACCCCAAATTCTCTCCTACAAGAGAAGTATCCTGCCCCCGTGTTTCAGCCCCAGCTTGCGGCTTCCAGCACCCATCACCTACATACACACACTTCCTGTGTCCTTGATTGCGTCCTATGTCCCCACCCTACCCCATATCAAGTCCCCAAGACTTCAGCTCTGTAGTGAAACTCTAGTTTCAGGCCTGCCCGCCACCGCGAAACTTTCCATACCACTAGTTCCCACCTACTTCACACGCAGGGCACTGATGTGATCACTCTTCTCAACACCGTCCACTACGATCCTAGCCAGTTCCGGACGCCCCAGAAGTTCAATCCTGAGCATTTTCTGGATGCAAATCAGACTTTCAAGAAGAACCCTGCCTTCATGCCCTTCTCAGCTGGTGAGGGCAGTGGGGGTGGGAGTAAGGGTATCTGGGTCCCATGTTTCTACCCACATTCCCCAGTCCTAATTCCACCCCCAAACTCTCCCACTTGGATATCCCGCCTCATCTCCCCTACCAACTATGTTCCTCTCTGCAGATAATGATTAAAATCCTGTGGAGGGAGGTAGAGAGGCAAGATCATCATAAGCTTGGAAGTTTGTCCACTGGGTGGTGAAGTTGAAGTAGTTTTATTTCTTGATTTTGACCTTTACCTTGCTATTAAAAAATAAAATCCCTATTTTCCTAGTAAAAGGGTGGACTGGGAATGACAGGAGAGAATTCATCATACTGAAACTCCCAGTGATTCTATAGAACAGAGTCCAGCTGCTCCATAGGGTTTCTTTACTGGAGCAGAAAGCCTCATCTTTCACCCAAAGATTTTAACTGCTGACCTTGTGGTTAGCATCCCAGTGCTCAACCCACTGTACCATCCGAGTTCATTCAAAATGGACTCTATGGCAGTGGATTTAACCATACTGCAAGGAACCCTGGTGGAGCAATGGTTAAGTGCTCACCTACTGACGAAAAGGTATTCCGAGTTACTAACTGAAGAAGACCTTTTCATCAGTAGGTGAGCACTTAATCCACAAGAAAAAATGTAGAATCAGCTCCCAGAAATAGAGCAACCTTGGAAATCCTATGGGGCAGTTCTCTAGTTTCCTCTAGGGTCGCTTAGTTTAAGTTAGAATCCTCTTGAAGGCACACAACAATCACCATATTGCCTGGTGTATACCAGGTGCTACCTCTGAGAAGAGTTATAAGTTGTTGTTGTTGTTAAGTGCCATCAAGTCGGTTCTGACCCATAGCAACCCTGTATAGGATTTCCAAGGAGCCGCTGCTGGGTTTGAACTGCTGACCTTGTGGTTAGCAGTCCAGTGCTTATCCTACAGCTCCAAAGTAGTTGGTCTCTGTAAACAGACTCCTGGTTTGCATCCCAGCTGTGTGACCTTGACTATGTTACTTCACCTCTCTGTATTATATCTATAAGAGAGAGAGAATAATGAAGCCCACCTCTTGGAGTCCTTATGAGAAGTAAAAGAATCAATGTTATAATGATTACAGCAGTGTGTGGCATATGTAAAAGTTACGTAAGCATTATAGTCTCAGTGTTTTACTTGTATTTGCGTAGTGGTTACCAATCGGGCTGCGAACAGCAAGGTCAGCAGTTCGAAACTACCAGCTGTTCCGCGGGAGAAAGATGAGGCTTTCTGCTCTCGTAAAGATTTACAGCCTCGGAAACCCTGTACAGGGAGGTCGCTATGGGTCGGAACCGACTCGACGGCACTTAACAACAACACCTTTCACAAAGGAGCGCTGGTAATGTAGTGGGTTACCAGTTGATTTGCTAACTGTAAAGTCAGCAGTCAATGGAAACTTAAAATCAACAACAAACATTTCCATCAATGATTTGGCTCCACTTAAACATCTTCCCTAGACTTTTAGATGCATAGGTCTTTGATGTTGCCAACCATCATTCTCATGCGTTTTCTCTGGGAACCAGGCTGAATATAAAGCCCTCCTCCCATCTCCTCCCATCTCCTCTCATCTCCTCTCATCTCTCCTCCTCACCCCTACAGGGCGCCGAGTGTGCCTGGGAGAGTCGCTGGCGCGCATGGAGCTCTTCCTCTACCTCGCGGCCATTCTGCAGAGCTTCACGCTGCAGCCGCTGGAGGCGCCCGAGAACATCGACCTGACCCCGCTCAGCTCGGGTCTTGGCAATTTGCCACGGCCCTTCCAGATGTGCCTGCGCGCTCGCTGACGCTCTAGCCCAGGCCTTTCCAAATATGCCTGCACAAGCAATAAGACTCACCCCTAGAGATTCCGCGATCGGTCTTCTTGTGCCACTGTCTGCCCTCATCCTTTTTTCTGTCCTACTCTTTCACTTGCATTTGCTCACCATGTATACTTCCCACCTTAATCGGGTGTGAGCCCCTAGAGGCAAAGAAAGACATGGAGGAGGAGTTCGCTCACAAAATTCACCCAATGAGGAGCCCTTTTCTAGGCTTTTTGTACCGTTTACTAATAAATTATCGTTATAATAGATTCAAACCTGCCTTGGCTGAATTGAGTGGAGGACAACCCGTTCAGGCCTAGGGGAGGCGAGTTCTGGCGGCAAGAGAGAAGACTTGGAGCTGTAGGGAGTCTACCCACCCCCTAGGGGCGGCTGCCGTGGGAGCTGATTGTGCCCTGGAGACAGACCGTGAGGGCCTGGAGACAGAAAAAGAAACAGTAGAGACACCAAACACAGAGGCTGGGAGAGACGTGAGGTGCGTACAAAGGCAGAGCTATCAACAGAGAGAAAGCAAAAGACTGACATAGAACAGTCTCGGACACATAGAGAGGAATAACCTTTACTAACATAGAGGGTTTACTATGGACTCCTAGTGTGGCGCTGTAGGATCAGCATTGGACTGCAAACTACAAAGTCAGCAGTTCAAACCCACCAACTGCTCCTTGGAGACTCTATGCAGAGTCGTTATGAATTGGAACACATTTGATGACACTTAACAACAACCAGTGCTTATTATAGGAGCACTGGACTGCAAGCCACAAGGTCCGCAGTTCAAGCCACTCCACCACTCCACGGGAGAAAAAGGAGGTTTTCTCCTCCTGCAAAGATGTAACTAAAGCCTAGGAAACCCTATACAGGATTGTTATGAGTCAGAACCAATTCAAAGCACTTAACAACAACAGTGCTTACTATGATCCACAGGCATCCTAAATGCTTTACACCTTGCTTCACTTCATTCTCCCTGAAGTAAGAGATAGTTTCTGTGTGAAGTAAACAGTTAACTCATGCAGACTGTGAACTGAAATGTTGGAGATTCTAATCTACTCAGAGATGCTTCAGAGGAAAGTTCTGGCAATCTACAAAATCAGCCATGCTGACACATGTGAGGTTGCTGAGAATCAGCATTCACTCCATGGAAACTGGTAGTTGTAACAGTATTATCACATTTTTACAGAGAGGTAACTGGATGCCCAGGGAGGTGAAGTGACTTGCCAGAGGTCACACAATTAGGACAGGGTGGAGCTTGGATCCAAACATAGATCCAGATCATCCGGCTGCAGACTGTCTGTACTCCTCACCACCATCTCTCAATCTCACAAATCAGAGATTCAGAACAAGAAGCAGAGAGAGACATCATCAGAGATAGAAAATGGGATATCCCAAGACTGAGAGATCCAGGTGGAGAATAGGAGAGACAGAAAGGGAAAAAGAGAGAGAGAGAGCAAGAGAGGAAGGACAATCAGTGGGGAAACTAAGGCCCAGGAAGGTTGAATCTCTCTTCCCTACTCCTGACCTCTCTCACTAGACTATTTCTTTGCCCTGTGATTCCTCCTTTTGGGGTGGAGGCCTCCCAACCTGGGGTCAGATGGAATACCCTGACGTCCTGCTGATGGTAGCTTTTCTCCGTAGGAGGGCAGGTGTCTCAGGATACAGTGATACCCCTTCCCCCCAGCCCTAAGTAGACGTTGTCTGGAAGGCCCTACCCCAAAACAGGATCTCCCAGGTCAGCCAGAAGTTGGGACCTGCTCTGCTGAGTATGAGACAGACTGGGGTGAGGTTTATAGGCGGCCCCCAGTTGAGGCGTCATCTCCTTAATCCCCATGCTGTTCCCACCATGGAGTCTGCCCGAGGGCCCAGCCACAAAGACACAGAGATGCAGGGAGAAGGTAAGAGATGAAAAGGCACAGAGGTTCTGGAAAAGAACAATGGAGATACAGCCAGTAGAAACACAATAGATACTGAAAAAGAGACAGAGAAAGATAGCAAGAGACAGAGTGGAGCTACCTAGAGACATGAGAGAGAGATGCTGAAGCAAGGACTGGAAGTGAGTCAGAGAGGCAAAGGAGGAAAAGTGGACACAGGGGGAAAAGGAGAGAAACAAAAAGATGCTGAGACCGAAATTGAAAGAAGAACCAAGATGATGAGAGATGGAGAGGAAAAATAAGAAGGGAAGGAGTTAAAGAGGCAGGGGAAAGAGATGGAAACGGGACAGGCAGGATGAAAGAGAAAACAGTCACAGACATTCAAAGAGACTGAGAAAAAAAGTGAGTTCATGATACAGGGAAATTGAGGCAGGAATGAGGCCACAGCTTACTGTGTGCTGAGGTGGGGTGACTGGCTTATACATTTGACTGCTAAGTGAAACTGGGAGCTCCAGACCACCCGGAAGTGCCTTAGAAGAAAAGCCTGGCCATCCACTTCCAAAAAACTGGCCATTGAAAACATTACGGAACACAATTCTACTCAGAACCCCTTGGGGTTCCCATGAATTAGAAACGGTTTCACAGCAACTGTTTTGGTTCCTGTGTGTTGAGCTCTGTTTCAGGTGCTTGGGATCCAGAAACGAATCCATCACGAGCCAAATTCACTGCCATTGAATAACTTCTTTTAGGACAGCGTAGAACTGCTCCTTACAGTTTCTGAAACGATAAATCTTTACGGAAGCAGAATGCCTCCTATGGGTTTGAACCTTTGACCTTGCAGTTAGGAACTCAAGGATTAACCCACTGTGCTCCCAGGGCTCCTTACAGAAGTAAACAAGACAGACAAAACATCTGCCCTGGAAGAGCTCACATTATCGAGGGAACCTCACTGAGCAAAATGAAGAGAGAAGAATCAGGAGTTGGAGAGAAAGCCAGAGATTTTAATAAAGAGGTCTCATCAGAGAACCTGAAACAGTGGGGCAGAGTGAATTGGGCAGGGTTTGTGGTGCCCCCACATCCCCAGTGGCTTTTGAGTCAGTACTTCTCAAAGCAAGGACCCCAAAAATCCCTTTAAGTCACTCAGTTGTTGGACAGAAAGAGCTTGACAAGTACAAAGAGCCATGACAGAAACAGAGAGAGGTTGAGACCATGAGATTAAGGGGGAGACACAGATCTTGCAAGTAAGACCGAGAGAGACAGGAAGACAGCGATGCAGATGGAGAAAGAGAGGTAGAGACACTGAGACAGAGCCCAAGGGAGATTCAGGTAAATACAAACTGACAGAGATAAACACAGAGAAAAAGACAACTTGAGAAGGGACACAGCGAAATGACATGAACAGAGGTGGAGACCAAGACAGCAAAACAGAGAGGGACAGATGGGAAGAGAAAGATAGAAAGAAATAAACAGAGACAAAAAAAACAGAGCCAGAGAGTAAGAGTGGAGAAGACACTGAGAGATGAAACAAACAGTAGGGGACTTCAAAACGTTCATGGGAAAAATGGAATTGATGGTGGAATTTTTCCATGAACTTTTGAAGCCTCCTCATACAACGTAAAGAGAGACACTCCCCGGAACAAGCCCAGCCCCCAAGCTTTTGCCAGACACCTAGTGGAAGGTTGAATCAGACAAGACAGAGGTAGGAAGAGAAAGGGTGGGCCACAACCATGAAAGTCTGTCCTCAGTACTAACTCAGCCCCACTCCCTGGCCCTGGGGGACCATATGGGCCTGGGTCTGCTTCCTTGGCCCAGACCACAGACCCAAAGGAGTGAGACGTTTGTCTGCCATGATGACCTGGCCTCAGATGAGAGTGCTCTGAAGGGAGAGGTCTGAAGACCAGGGGCACAAGACATTTGGAGATATCTGGATGGTAGAGACTTGGGAATGGAGATGTCAACAATTCACTGCCAGGCATAAGTATACAAGTGGTTGTGGTTGTTGTTAAGTGCCATGGAGTCAGTTCCGACCCATAGCGACCCTGTATAGGGTGTCCGAGGAACAGCTGGTAAGCTTGAACCACTGACTTTGCAGTTCTAATGGCTTTGCAGTCTGACTCATTAACCTACAGTGCCACACCAGGAGTCTAAGTATCCAGGTGTGGGATTAACATGTGGGAAGGCCCTTAGGAATCACAAGATAGACAAGGACATGTCAGATAGATGGGTATCAGTAGGCTTATTATTGTTGCTAAATGCTGTTGAGTTGGTTCCAACCCACAGCGACCCTTGTAGGGTTCCGAGGAGCAGCTGGTGAGTTTGAACCGCCAACCTTGTGATCTAAACCGACCTTGCAGTTGAGTGCTTATCCTACAGTGCAACACCAAGAGTCCCATGAGGAGGCTAGGGAGATTCAGATGAGTGAGCATCAACAGATGGCAACAGCATGCAGCGTTCCCAGGGCCTTGGGAGTGTTAAGTGACAAGGGCTCAGGTGTGCATAACTGGGGATCCCAAGCACAGAAGTGCCAGGCTGGTGGACACAATACTCGGGGGTGCTTTAGGAATGTATTTGTTGTTGTTGTTGTTATGTGCTGTGGACTCGGTTCCGACTCATAGCGACCCTGTATGAGTCTGTAAATTATCCAAGGCTGTAAATTTTTACGGGAGCAGAAAGCCTCCTCTTTCTCCCATGGAACAGCTGGTAGTTTCAAACTGCTGACCTTGAGGTTCACAGCCTGATTCGGAACCACTACACTACTGGAGCGCCTTAGGAATTTATTTAGGAGTCAGAGGTACAGGATACGCATCCTGATGCGGCCAGGGGATTCAGGGGTGCATGAAATGGCCCTAAAGGTGCTGCTAGTTGCTCAGAAAGGCACACCTGTCAGCCAGGTGTAATAACATGAAAATGCTGGTGCAGGCAAGTTGTCCAATAGTTCAGGCTGAGGCAGGCAAAAAATAAAAAATAAAAAAATGGGTCAGGGGCACCGGGCACAGAAGAGCTACTGCTGGGGGGTGGGGTGGAGACCTGGGTTTAGGGAATTTATAATCTATGTAATGATGCCTACGCCTCCTACACTGGTCGCCGCCTCTGCTCCACCCAAGACTCCATTGCAATCAAGTAGAGGTGAAGGGGCACAGGCATCACCGAGGATTGAGTGCACAATGTCCATGGGCCTGGTAACACTGCTGTTGCTTCTTCTCTTGCTGGCGCTTGCATGGCGCAGCTGGGGTGTGCAGGGCACTTGGAAGCGGGGCGCCCTGCCCCCCGGCCCCACGCCGCTCCCGTTGCTGGGGAACTTGCTGCTGCTGCAGTCAGGGCGACTGGACCGCACACTGATGGAGGTAGTCGACAGTGCATGGGGGAACTGAATTCTGGATTCGTGGAGGTGGGGCAAGGGTTCCCTGAGTGAGCCTGAGGATGGATAAGGGGCCTATGCTCCTGATTGTCATTAAAGAAGGGTCTGGGAATAGGAAAGCTGCAAGTCTAAACACCTGGGAAGTGAGAGAAAAGGAGACAGGGCAAGAAGTCAACTTTCCCAGATGGAGGGAGGAAAGGGGAAAGAGCCTGGGCTCCAAGATCGCCAGTGGATGCCTGAAGGAGGAACCTGAGGCCGGAAGGCAGATTCCAGAGGGAGAGAGGCCAAATCAAGAAATCAAAACCATTACCATCAAGTGGATTCTGACATTTATGAGACCCTACAGGACAAAGTAGAATTGCCCCACAATGCTTACAAGACGGCAAAAATTTACAGAAGCCTCATTTTTCTCCCCTATAGCTGCTAGTGGATTCCAACCGTTCACATTTTGGTTCGCAATCGGATTTTTTAGCAACCGCGGCACCAGGGTTCATAATGAGGGCACCAGAAAACAAAAAAACAAACTTACTTCCGTGGAATCAATTGTATTTATAACAACCTTTTTATAGGATTTCCAAAACTGTAAATCTGGTCTAAATTCCTGAATCAAGGGAAAGGGAGGCTGAGTATTCTGGTAGTTCTGAGGATTGTCCCTGCACAGGGTTTCCAGGGCCGTGGTCATAACAACCCTGCACAGGGACCCTGCACAGGGTTTCCGGGGCCGTGGTCATAACAACCCTGCACAGGGACCCTGCACAAGGTTATCCTGGGTTTCCGAGGCTGCACAGGGTTTCCAAAGCTCGGAGGCTGTTAATCATTACATTACGGGAGCAGAACACCTCATCTTTCTCCCGCGGAGCAGCTGATAGTTTCGAACTGCTGATCTTGCGGTTCGCAGCCCTATTCATAACCTCTACGATACCAGAGTTCTGAGGAGAGAAGAGGCTAAAGACCTGAACTTCTAGGTTCAGAGACACAGGGAGTTGAAGGCTGGACAACTTGGTCTAAGGGAGGAGGGGTCTGGGGCTTAAATTCCAGGATTTGAGGAATGAGGGGCAGGAGGCGCGGGATGGGGGTGGGACTAGGTTCCCGTGGAGGGGGGTCAGAAGTCCAGAGGGAGACCCTCTGAGCACCGGCTTTCCTTAGCTCTCAGGCCGCTGGGGCCCGGTGTTCACCCTGCATCTGGGCCCACGCCCTGCGGTGGTGCTGTGCGGCTATGCAGCACTGCGAGACGCATTAGTGCTGCAGGCGGACACCTTCTCCGGTCGCGGGGCCATGGCTGTCTTCGAACGCTTCACGCGTGGCAACGGTGAGGGGGGTGAAACAAGGGCTTGAAGATCGATAAAGGGCGGGATGGGACTGAAAGGGGTTAGATAGAGAACCCTAGATAAGGCCGGCCACCCGCGAGGGTAGGGCAAGATCAATTATGGGGCGGGGCTAGAGACGGAAGGCCTAATCTTCGTTCAGCCAATCGGAGAGGCCAGCCTAAAAATCAAACGCAAAAAGAACAAGCACTGGTCAGAGGTTGGGATCCGCCGAAGTGGAGACAGTGTGTGGATAGGGCCGAAACCAATCAATAAGCGAAAGAGGAGGTCAAGGAGTAGAAAGCCGGAGTGACAACCAAGAGGTCGGTAAAGAAGCAGAGAAAAAGAGTTGTGAAGGCAGGCCCACGAGTTGGAGGCGCGGGAAGGGGTGTGACTAGCGACTGGGCACTTCCTGGATGGGGCGTGACTAACTCGCTGGCCCCAACCCCTTTCCCTGCCTTTCAGGCATCGTCTTTTCTAATGGGCCGCGCTGGCTTACGCTGCGCAATTTCGCACTTGGAGCCCTCAAGGAGTTTGGTTTGGGTACGCGGACCATAGAGGAGCGCGTCCTGGAAGAAGCGACATGTCTGCTTGAGGAATTTCAAGCCACCATTGGTGCGACCCCTTCGGGAAGGCTGAGAGACCTGGTGTGGGTGGGGCCAATGCATGAAGTTGAGAAGGGACCGCGGGAAGGAGTTTGATGGAACTGAAGTTAATAAACCCAGAAACTTGCTAAGAACGGAGCCATAGCGTAGTGATCCCATCCTGTCTTCATCTCCAGGAGTTCCATTCGACCCCAGGCGGTTACTGGATAATGCTGTGTCCAATGTTATCTGTTCCGTCGTCTTCGGGAACCGCTATGGCTACAGGGACCCGGAGTTCTTGAGACTCCTGGACCTCTTCAGTGACAACTTCCGCATCATGAGTTCAAGATGGGGAGAGGTGAGAAAGGCTCAGTCTTAATGTGTCCCCAGCCTTATACTAGACGCAAAGTATATAGACCAGGGCTGGTGGTGGTATTAGGTGCCATCGAGTTAGTACTGACTCATAGCGACCCTATGCACAGCAGAACGAAACACTGCCCAGTCCGAGGCCACAATTGTTGCCACGCTTGAACCATTGATGCTGCCACTCTGACAGTCCATCTCACTGGGGGTCTTTTCCTCTGACCCTCCACCTTACCAAACATGATGTCCTTCTCCAGGGGTGGGGAACCATTTTTCCCTCAAGGGCCATTTGAATATTCATAGTATAATTCATGTTGTTGTTGTTATGTGCCCTGAAGTCGGTTCCGACTCATAGCGACCCTGTACGGGGTTTCCGATGCTATAAATCCTTACGGGAGCAGAAAGCTTCATGTTTCTCCCGCGGAACAGCTAGTAGTTTCCAACTGCCCACCTTGAAGTTCGCAACCTGATTCTTAACCACTACACTACCACATAATTCATAGGCCATACAAAAACCCGTCGCTGAAACCCTGTGCAGGGTCGCTCACTGTGAGTAGGAACCCCGACTGACAGCACCTAACATTTAGATGGCTGGAACTGTGGTTGGGGCCTTACATGACGGGCCGGACGTTCCCCACCCCTGATAGATACCTACCTACAGGATAGATTTGAAGGCTAGGCGAGGAGGTTCAAACTCACCAGCTGCTGTTTGAAAACCCTGTACAGGTTCGCTAGGAGTTGGAACCGACTGGACAGCACTTACAAAATTGGCTCATTAGAATAGAGCATTCTTAAAAGAGACTTGGAAGAGTTCTGTAAATCTGTTACTTCAGTCTTGATCCACCCTCCCTGGGGAAACGGAGGGCAAGTGACCTTGTCTAAGAGCTCTGGTAAGGAACTCTGGTAGCTTAGTAGTTACGAGTCGTGCTGCTAATCTCAAGATCAGCAGTTCGAAACTACCAGCTGTTCCGCGGGAAAAAGATAAGGCTTTCTGCTCCCATAAAGATTTACTGCCTCGGAAACCCTATGCAGGGTCGCTAATGAGTCGAACCGACTCCACAGCACATAAAAACAAAATCCTACTGAGATCCTATCTCCTCAGATGTACAACATTTTCCCCTCTCTCCTGGACTGGCTTCCGGGCCCACACCATCGAATCTTCCGAAACTTTGCAGAGCTGCGGGTCTTCATCTCTGAACAAATCCAGCGGCACAGGCAGACACGGCAGCCTGGGGTGCCCCGTGATTTCATAGACTGCTTCCTCGACCAGATGGATAAGGTATGGGGGGCCCTGCTGCCCAAAACACTCTCCCCACCACCCATTAGCAGGTCCCTGGCATCGCTGGTCTCCTCTCTACGCAGGAACAGCAGGACGCGGAAAGCCATTTTCAGGAGGAGACTTTGGTGATGACAACGCACAATCTTTTCTTTGGCGGCACGGAGACCACAAGCATCACTCTGCGTTATGGGCTGCTCATTCTGCTCAAGTACCCAGAGGTGGCAGGTCTGCGAGTTGGGAAGGCCTGGGATGAAAGGTTGGAATTTGGGAGTGGTTAGGATTCCGAGGCGCGCTAGGCCCACACCCTCTACCTGCCTCAGCAAAGGTGCAAGAGGAGCTGGACACCGTGGTAGGCCGGATCCGCCTACCCAGCCAGGCGGACCGCGCTCGCCTGCCCTACACCAATGCTGTACTGCACGAGATTCAGCGATTCATTAGCGTGCTGCCACTGGGCCTGCCGCGTGCCCTCACCCGAGATGCCCACTTGCACGACTACTTCCTACCCAAGGTGCCCACCGAACCAGGGAATTCTTAATGGGGGGGGGCGGTTGGGGGTCAATATGACGCCCTATTCGTGGGAAGCCACTGGCATGAGTTTGCACGGCTTTGATTTAGGCATATGGCTTTGGGGGCTAAAAAGCAGCAAGGACCGCCTTCCCTCAACCTTTTAAAAAGGATCCTTGGCTTCCTGTGGTGAGCACGCCAGCCAATTCCTTACCAATTCAAGTTGCATATCCCCCAAGGGCACTTCCGTGATTCCCCTGCTCATGTCATCGCACCGCGACCCAACTCAATTCAAGGACCCGGATTGCTTCAACCCTACCAACTTCCTGGACGACAAGGGCAACTTCAGGAGCAATGACGCCTTTATGCCCTTTGCTCCAGGTCTGGGCAGGGGAGGATGGGGATCACCCCAGACCGGCGGGCCCTGTGTTGTGTGTGGGGTGCTTACTGGACACCCCTGTGTTATCAGGAAAGCGGATGTGTCTGGGTGCAGGCCTGGCGCGCTTGGAGCTCTTCCTGTTCCTTACAGCCATTCTGCAGAGGTTCCGCCTGCTCCCCGTAAGAAGCCCTGCCCACCTCGACCTGACCCCACAATACACTGGCCTGGGCAACCTACCCACAACCTTCCAGCTCCACCTAGTGGCCCGCTGAGATCAGCCACCCCCTACCCCGCTAGCCTTCCTTACTTCCCCTTGGTCAATAAAGGCCCCAAATCAAATTTGCTGGTGCTGTTTACCAAGGGTAGGAGTTCTCACAGCATACTGGCTACCAGTTGGGCTGCTAACTTCAAAGTCAGCAGTTTGAAACTACCAGCTGTTCTGCAAGAGAAACATGAGGTGTTCTGCTCCCGTAAAGATTTACAGCCTCGGAAACCCTGTACAGGGTGGATGAGTCAGAACCACTACACAGCACAGAACTACCACTACCACCTTAACAAGGTGGGGAAAAGTTGGATGTGTACAGCTCTGAGGTAAAATTTTATTTATTTCTTGGCTGAAGTTCCACACTCATGCTCCTCCAGGCACCCCTTACCTGCCCAAGCCAACAGTGACCCAGTCAGAAGGGTGCCATGGCCAAAGAGGTGGGAAGTCACTTCACATTCCAGGCTGGAGGAGTGGGGGGCTCAGGTATATATATACCACCCGCCCCCCACAAACCTTTGCCAGCAAGAGGCCATCACTCAACCAAACCCCAAGTCTGGCATCCTAGCAAGAAGTAGCAGTGCCCCCTTCCAGCTACCACTGGTGGGGGTGCTCTGCCAGACCGGGTAGGGCACAGGCCTACCCCCAGCTCCAGTAATGGCAGCCCCAACGCTGGCCCCTGCCCACCATCCTGGGGCAGCAGAGGTCTCTCTCCTCCCCCTTGGCTCTCGACCTGCCACCTTGGCCAGGACAGGCAAAGGCAGAAGCAGCAGTGGTGGCAGGGAAAGCGTTGACACCTAGGTGCCCAAGCTCTCCTGATGTCAGGGTAGGCTGGCTGTCCACACAGCTCTGGGGTTAGTCATTAAGTGGGTGTAGTCGGCTGTGACACGGGCACTTGCACGCCTTTCTGTCCTGATGCTGAAGGTAGAAAAGGGGCAAAAAACAGTCATTAGGATGAGGAAGAGGCCAAGAAAAACCCAAGATGAGAGGACCAGGAAGAGATGGGGGTCTTTCAGGGTAGCAGGAGAGTGGGCTGTCTAGGGAAGATGGACAGGGATGAAGGGATGAGGAGCAGAATGAATGAAACTGATGGGGTAAATAACTTAAGGCCTGCCTGGTGGAGTCTGTGGAACAGGGAAGACTTGAGGGAGGGAGGGAGGTGGCGTGTTGGATGCAGGTACCTAGCTGATACTTGTCTTTGGCTGCTGCCCGCTCCTTGGCATCAAAATACCAGACAGTGATGGCATACCTGGAAACCAGAGAAGTCCCACGGAGAAAGCTTGAGATCACTTGAACTATGACTGCCCCCATATTCATACCAACACTACAGCCCACCCTTCTGGGCCTGGTCTTTACCCACTTAGGCTTCGTTGCCCCTTCTCCATTCCCTATTCATTTGACTGGGTCTGACAAGGCTTTGTTGGCCCAGTACCTGGACACTGTCCCAGAAGTATGGGACATACCTGGTGGCATAGGCTGGCTTCACCTCATGGGGGTTCCGCCGATCAGACCAGAAAATAAGCAGCCGGTCGAAGAGTGGCTCAATGTTGGCTACCACAGGCCGGCCCTCAGGGAAGATCTGCAGCAGGCCACCATGCACCTGGGGGCCAAGCCAGGAGATGAGGCAGGAGGCCACCAGGCAGCATCACTCCCACCCAACACTGCCTGTGCCTCTTAAAATGTTAATGACAGCAGAGTCCACATCACCATGGAGATAGGCAGGAAGCTACTAAAGACAGGAAACGGGGTAAGTGCTCTTGACAAGGCAGGGTGGGCTGGGGCGGGCCAGGGAAGACTGCACCATTTCCGGGGGGGGTGTTAGTTCTTGCCAGTTGGCTAAAAAGGAGGTGCCGTTTTCCAGAACGAACCAGCAGATGGCGCCGTGTGTGGGTTTGTGTGTGGTCGCGCGCGCAGAAAATCCCAGAAGGGGTATTAGGAGTGGATCCCATGATGCCCACTCCGCAAACTCCATACCCTACCTTGACATCCCAGTTTTGATTCAGGTAATAGATACAGGTGATGCAACGCCCGTCGCCGTGGGGATTGTCAACGTGCCTCACGTATCCCAGCCCGTTGCCTGGGTAACACGCCACCATCGCCTGGCAGAGATGGAGGGGGGCGGGGTTACGGGGGCGTGGTGGGGACTTATGCGGAAAGCAGCCAAACCTCCACTGCCTCAATTCTCTAGCCTCTGGTCCGCCGCCCGCCCCCAACACCCACCTCCGACTTCTTGTGTAGTCCTAGTGTGGGGCTAGAGGATTAACTGCTAACCACAAGCCTGGCAGTTCAAACCCACCAGGTGCTCCTTGGAAACGCTATACAGGGTCACTGAGTGTGTGTATCACAGAACTGACTCAGTGGCATTAAACAAGTTGTAGGTTTGGAGAGCTCCAGCCTCAAGTGCCTTTCTCCTTTCTCAGCTAAGCTCCTACCCCCAAGTTCACCAGAAATCTCCTCCCACCCCATTCGAGCAGGCTGGAGTAACTGAGGGTTCTTTTTCAAAGATATGCCAGCCATGTCTCAGACACTTCAGTGGAGTAAATGCAATGTAGACTGGTTTTCACATCTTCCAAGACCTGGTCATAGAGTCCTAGAGCAGGGCTCTAGGTGGCAGAGTAGACCTACCTCGGAGGTGCTGCTGTAAATGGTCTAAGGTGGGGCCTAGAATTTCTGAGGGTTCCCTGGGTAATTCTAATGCGTGGCTATGTCGGAGAAATCAATTATCCACCACATAAGCATCAAAACCTAGAGTCTAAGTAATCCCAAATCCAAGGATACCTTCTAGTGACCCTGAACAGGCCCATCACCTGAGCAGATCTCAGCTATCCCATCTGTAAAATGGGGCTAAACAGTACCTCTTCTGGGTATAGCAGTTACACTAAGCCTTTTCAGAATATTGCCTTGAAGCAGGGGTGAGGAACCTTATTTTTGCCAAAATTTGCAACATTCACAGGCCATAAAAATTATCAACTTAAAATTAGCCTGTTAAATTTGGTCATATTTTTAATTAACTCACCCCTAATGTTGACGACTTCTCCCACCCCTACCTTAGAGGTTCCTGATCCTCAGCTCAGACTATTGTGGTCTAACCGAGTCAAAGGCAGATCTCACAGTATGATTTCCTCCGTTCCCTGGTTTCTGCGCATCGCCCCGTGCCGCTAGGGATTGGAACCGACTAGACAGCACTTCAACAAGGTCTGGGAGAGGAGGGCTTTTTACAAAAGGGTGCCATGCTACCTACAACACACAGCCACACCGACCAGACTGGATGAGAAACGGGCCTGTTAGAGAGCACCAGCTTCTGCCTAGTGGGGATATCTGTCATGACCCTCTGACCCAGGGAAAACTCGGCTGCTGGCTGTGCCCCACTAATGTCAACTATACCTGGGGGCCATGAGCCCAGGAAGACAACCCTGAGAGAAACATTCACAATCAAGCAGGCATGCATCTGCTGCTAAAACAGGCGGCTTGCCAAGCACTTCATGGCTAGTCAGGAGGACTCCAGCCCTCAATTTCCTCCCAACCCTATTAGCAGGGCTCAGGCATGAAGATGAAGCCGCCTGACCACAGTACTGCTCTGTGTCACACATCTGCACCTGCCCCATCACGACACCTGCCCAGCAACAGCCCGGTCCTTAACACTCTGAAGGGAGGCCAAGAGCGCTGGCAGACTGAGGGTCACCCAGCAGGCAGGCAGCCCGGCTTCTTCCTGGCAGACCCTATCCCCTACCCCATGCCCCAGTCAGGAGAACCTTCTTTATACTGCTCACTCCAAGCAGATGGCTCTGTGGCTCTGTGCTCTCAGTACCCACCTGCCTGGGAGGTAAGAGTGGGGCCAGGGCCACGTGAGGGCCTGGAATCAGAGACTGACTTTGAGACAGGGGAGGAACAAGCCCTCCCCACAGAACTGCGAGCTGAGGTGCTGCTGGCTCTGCACCTGAATGGGAGGTGAGGGGGCCATAGTTCACCTTACACCACAGCCAGCTCCCCACCATCACAACACAAACAATCCACCGCTAGCAAGTCGATCCGAACTCACAGCAGCCCCATATATAGGTTTCCCAAGACTGTAAATCTTTACAGGAGCTGACAGCACCATCTTTCTCCCAAGGAGTGGCTGGGGTTTGACCAGCTCAATGTCTAACCATAGCACCACCACGGCTCACGAAAAGATCAGTTCCAATCACAGCCTTCAGGGCCAAATGCTCGGCTGCCACCAACCTCCTGGGCTTCACCTGCCCCTCACACTGTTGCAGCCCCACGAGCCTCGGGACTATACTCTCAACAGGCCAAGCTGGTCCCCACCTCAAGGCCCCTGCATTTGCCCCAGTCCTCCTTGTTCAGGTTTCAGGTCCAAGGTCACCTGCAGATCCTCTAAGCACTCTAGTGGAAGGTAACTAGCTGACTGCCCAATCCACTCATCCTCCTGGTCCACCGGCAGGCCCCCCCAGTATCTGCTGACAGCTTTCTTCTGGGACCGAGGGCCTGAACCCCACCCCACTGTTATGCCCTGTGACCCTCACACAGGATGCCCCACCAGAAGCAGGACTCCAAGTGACAGAGAAAAGGGGTACAGAAAGAGGAACCTGCCCTTTAAGGCCCACCCTCCCCCCACATAACACACCTGAGGAGGGATGGACTCAGGGCCCAGGAAAACACCTACTTCCTGCTTCTGATAAGGGAGAGGTTAGACACCCAAGGGCAACAGGTAGAGTGACAGAGAAATCTGGGGGCCAAGGGAGGAGACTGAATAGGTAAAAGCTATAATGACAAGGAGTCAGGAGTCCCCTCCCCTACGGCAAACACAAACCCCACCCCCCACCCCACCCCACCCCAGTCAGTCTGAAGCCCCAGCTCCAAGGCACCCTTGTTAATTAAGCGCCATCGAGTCAGTTCTGATTCACAGCAACCCTCTATGGAGTTTCCGAGGACAGGATGGTGGGTTTGAACCACTGTTCTTCCAGTTAGCAGTTCAGTGCTTATCCTACAGTGCTATGCAAGGATGTTCTTAGAGGCAAACGATGGCAGCTGGGCCCTTCCAGGGGTCCCCTTTGGTGGTCCTTAATGCCAAAGGGAGTCAACACTACTCCTGCAGGACACCGGAGCAGGGGAACTAGGAGAGAGAAGACAGAAGGACCCAGCTGGACTCAAGAATGGACAGAGGCCAGGGTGACCTAAGAGCAGGGGTCCAGATGCTGCGGGCTCACAGTGCAGAAGACAGTGGGAGAGAACCCAACAACCAGGATGGCTCCTTTCCTCCCTTCCTAGGTCCTGCTGGACCTGTTCTTACCTCTCCTGGCCAGTAAGGAAGGGTTAGTCAGGGCCCTTCATCCTAGCCAGGGTCCTGTCCCCACCATGTCCCAGATGGGAGCCAGAGATACCCACAAGGAGGAGGCCTGCTCCCTCGACCCTCCTGAGCCTTCTTCTTGAAACTGCTGACAAGCTGGGGGCTTAACTTGGCTACTTTGCTCTGTGGATGAACCAACTGAGGCCCACAGCTCTTCTCCTCACCTGTGACCACCCGCCCAAGAACTCTGTAAGCACTGAGTACCACGTGACCAAAGAGGTTCTCTCGAATCTTGCCTGCCCAGGAGCTCAGCCCCAGGAGACATGGGCTCTCCAGCTATCAAGTACAAGGAGGGAGAGGGAAGTAGGACTGTTCCAGCTGGGGTGGGGAGGAAGCAGGCCTCGGCCCCAGGGGAGCCTGGGTCCCAGAGTCAGCTCCAGCCTGATGAGGGAGAAGGGAGGGGACATCAGCTCCAGCAGTAGGCCGGTCTACAGGGCCTCTTTCCAACACACCACACCAAGCCTTGGACCCAGGCCAGGTTCCTCACACACCCTCCACAGAGAATAGTCAACACCAGCCAGCCAGAGAGTCCTACACACTGTCCTGTACAGAGCTCCTGGTCCCTGCTGGAGGCCTCAAGCCCTGGCAACTGCCAGTAAACTCCCAGCAAGTGAGACTTCATCCTGAGACACGGTGTGTGCCTTTTGGCAGATTCTCAAAGAGCCCAGGTTCCAAAAACAAATCCAAAACAACTAGTCTAAACCAAAAGAAAGAAAAAGGGACCCAGAAAAGACACAAGGGGGTGGAGAATCAAGGGACCACAAAAGAGAGGAAAGACGAAGGCAGATAGAACCCAGAGCAGAGAGAGGCAAGAACCAAATGATAACCGGACAGACAAGACACAAGAAAAACAGAGAAACATTCAGGGCTGGAGGGTAGAAAAGCTGGGGACAGGAATTCCACATCAGCAAGGACACTCAGGGCCACCCCCAATCAGCTGTCCTTGACACAGATGCCATGGTCCTGCATGCAGGGCACTCTGACACCTCCGCTGGGCAGTGCCCCCTCCCTCAGGCCAGCACTTCCCTCCCCATGCCCTCCAGGTGCTCCTATTGGCAGGACAGGAATGCAGAACTAGACACAGACCAACAGAGAGGATGGAGGAGGGGAGAGCAGGCCTGGATGACAGTAGGGACACAGACAGACAGAAACAGAAGCATGTGTCTGTCTCTATTAACTATTACCAGTCTGGAGGCCAACCCACCACAGCCCATGCACAAGTGCACTGCAAACTTCTGCAGCAGGTCTCAAGTTCTTCAAGTGTATCCCAGTGATGTCAAAAACCATTATGGCTCTGGGCCAGAGCTCAGGCTTACAGATGCAGAAACTGAGGCCCACAGGTGAGAGAACCCGCAAGTTCCTCCAACACCCCCTCTACCCTACTGGGACCCCAGCAGTCTAAGTCCAAACCCACTCCTGCTCAGTGCACTGAGCAGCTGCTGCCTCTGCAAGAACCCCCTCCACAGCCTCACCTTGGTGCGCCCGTTGATAACGTAGCCCCCCAGTCGCCCGGCGCAGTGTCGGATCACCGCATCCACGTGAGCCATGAGGGTGCCGATGCTCCGGCAGCCTGGCTCATGGCCTTCCACCCAGGCAATCTGGTCCCCTCGGATGCTTCTAGGCGGGATGGCCCGCTGGCTCACCAACTGCCCATCACAGAGGCGTCCACCTCGCTTCAAGGCCTCCACCTCTGCTAGCACTCGGCCACACAGGGTTGCCCCCAGGAAGCTGTCCTTGACGCAGATGCCGTAGTACCGCATGCAGGGCACGATGTAGTCCAGGGCTAGGCGCTCAGGTGTGGTGGGCAGCGCCTCCTCCCTCAGTCCGCCACTTGCCTCACTACTGCCACTGCCGCAGGCCCTGCCCCCCTCTGCCTCTGCCTCCTGGTTCTCCTGCCTGGCCCAGGGCCGCTTGCTGGGTGCTGGGGCATCGCCACCATCCTCAGCCCATTTCCGTTTTGGGGCCTCAGGCCGGGCACCCTGAGCTGCCAGCCGCTGGCACCCTTTGGTAACCAGTGCTGCAGCACCCTCACTCTGTAGAAGCCACAGTTCACCACCGTCCTGCCCGCCAAAGCCCTCCCTCAGGGAGTTGGTAGCGCTGGAGGTGCTTGTGGCTCTCGGGGTCCCACTGCCAGCTGAAGCCTCACCAGGTGCCCCTGGACAGTGGCAGGAAGGCAGCAGGAGACAGGGCAGGTAACTCTCCACCCCCATCCTGGCCTGGCCAGGCTCTGAGGGTTCTGACGCAGACCCTGACAACTGAGGGTGAGGCTGATTCAGGGGCTGTGGCTGGCGCGGGCTGTCCATGGCAGCAGCGTCTTCATCTCCCGGGCATGGAGGGCACGGCCCAGGCCCATGGTGCCTCCCTCCTCCACCTCCTCCTCCTCCTCCACTGATGCAGCCCGGGGCTAGGGCAGCAGAGGCAGGATGAGGCTAGATGGGCAGCAGGGCCTCTTCTCGCACCCCAGAGGTGCTAGGTAGTCCCCAAGTCCTCTTCTGCCGTCCCTAGAGGCTTGGGAGGGGACCCGTCAGAATGGCTGGAGGAAGAGAGAAAAGGGATATGAGAGGGTATCCAGTTAGGAAGAAGGAGGGAAGCATCCCCACACAGACTTGGGTAGAGCGAACCCAAGTGAGGGAGAGACCCCTGAGAATGGAGGTGGACAGGCGATCTCCAAGGATGGCAGGGGGAGAGGCTAGTTAGGTCCAAAGGCAAAAGACTGGGATGGGAGCCATGGGAGAGCGTATCCTCCAACAGACAAGAGGAATGGGGTCTGAGGGCTGGTGGAGAAATGGGAAGTGGAAAGGCTGGAAACAGCCAGAAAGAATCCACCTGGAGGTTCCATCCAACACAGAAGGAGTGGGGGGAACCAGAAAGGAACATAAAAAACGGGGTCTAGAGAGGGACAGAGGAAATGGGGGGGTATCTAGAGACAAAAGGAATTGGGGGCCCAGAAGACAGAAAAACAGCCGGAGGGAAGCTTGGGGGCTGGGCCTAGAGCTGCCAGACAGAACGGGGTGGAGGGGTCGACCCGAGTCCAATGGGAGGAAGCCTGTTGGGGCAGACATACACCCAGACGGAAGGGAGGTCCGGAGACAGACGGACCAACGGAAGGGGGCCTCGGGAGAACGGTGCATAGCGATAGAGGGAAGGGCGGAGGGAAGATCACGCACCCGCGGGCAGGGTGAGTGAAAAGGGCGGCCCCCTCCCAACTCCGCTGGGGCGGCCTCGGAGGCCGGGGGGGGG